GAACGGTTGCAGTGCCACTCAGAGCTTTAAATCGCAAAGATCTGAGGGGCACTACCACTGCGCCCGTCACCCTAATACATAAGTTGACAAATACCGTGTGCCTGTAATTTCACCAACACCCTTACCCTTCAAAACCGGAACACAGTACTGCCACGTCCATTGACGAATTCTTTCACAAGAAGCTCTACTGCTGCTATATTTTTTGGGTTTACGGCATTTAATACTGAAAATGCAAAGTGGCTCGAGTTTATATGCCCGAGAGTGTATTTTATTTTTGATTCAATTTTATTTTGTCCAAATTGTTCATACATTTTTAAATTCATAGTAGTGCCAAAGTCATTACACCTGAGCACAATTTACATTTTTTTAAATTGCTATAGTCTACTAATGTCCCTGCCACGAGTTTACAGAGGCTGTTGTCACTAGAGACCGTGTAAATTATTTAACAATTTTAAATGACAAATTATACAGCACGCCTAGCGGCCACAAAAAGTAGTATATTTTGTATACAAATATTTGGCCCAGTCGCTAGGAACTAGGGCGTCCAGACTCGCTGCATTCCCGGTGTTTACTTAATTCACTTGAATTAAATCATCTAGGTGCATTAAGTACGCTTCTAATACACTTAAATCACTTCTTACCGTTACATCATAATTGAAAGAGTGAAATAAGAGTGAGTTTACTCACCCAAAAAAAAAGATAGTAATGTGTGCCAGGAAAAGCAAGACTTTCGAGACTGTTTCAGAAGTAGGTTTCTATACTTATAGGCTTGACATGTAAGCACTTAAAACTTGAGATGATCAAGTTCTTTATTAAATTCTCTAATAATTATAAAAAAATGAAAATCAAAGGGCGTTTAATCTCATTACAGACAGAGAGGTGATCTTATTATTAACGTCCTTCAAACTTCAAAGATTATAATAGATCCACTCTACAGTGTTGGCATGTCGACGTAACTGAAATAAAAAATGACTTGGCGAGTATGCAAATCTAGAAAATTCGGACCTACTTCGGATTTCGCTCGTGCACTAAATCCGATTGGAATGCGAGGAAATACGAATGTCGCTTGTACACCTAGAGATAAAATGATCTCTGTGACATTTCGGATCGTCATTTCATTCTGAACTGGTACGAATCGGACGTAGTGCGCCAACGCTCTTATGGTTCAGATCATTGGTACATTTTTGACACTCTAATAAAGTGACTTAAAAATCTTGATATTGATGAGAGGGAATACAGTCTCGAGTCTGGGAAACCTGAAAAAATCACTAAGATTCGAAATTTCCGATACTGAGCTTCTCGCGATGAAAGCCCTACTGAAAACTAATAGTAGAGACACGGTTCACAGCAAATCAATTTTTATGCGCACAAAATGTGGGAAGAGACTGTAAGGGCCACAAGACTGTTATATAAGAAACTTTGAGTTTCAGCAACCAATAGCATTTAATTATTTCGAAACGTGTGAAGAAAAATAATTTAATACTATAGGTCGATGAAATACAGTTTACTGCTTTGTTAAAAAATGGGCCTAAGAAACTAAACAGGCAGAGCTTTCGCTAAGTGAGATTATAATAAGCTGCTACTTTTTTTTAAATTGACCTAACTTTGTTAGTTTAAGCTTATTCCTTAGTCGTTTTGGAATATTTAGTTAGTTATATACAGTTAAGTTAAGAGTTCTTGCGGAATTAAAAAACCCTCAGGAAAAGTTATATAAAAAAACAAACGTGAATTTGTTCGAATGTTTCCAATGTTAATGTGCTAGAGAATTACACGGATTACCTCGTCTCAAATTAGGGAATTCCCTTTACTAAGAGTACCAGAGCAACGAAGTTAGCTCCGGGAATACTAACCCAGAACACCTAGACCAGGGACCCCTTTTTTTTTTGACGGGGGAAATCTTTATGGATAGCCTTGAGCCCAGGGAGACTCAGGGGTTATGTGGGGACTCTCCCTCCAGACTGAGACCCTCGAAGCGCGAAATCCTTAGTTACGGCCATTTTCCTACTTTTGATGAAAATTTAGCAGTATGTGTATAAAAATACAAATAGGAGACATATATTCAAGTTTTTCATTTGAATTTAATATCCATAATCAAACCCGCTTGTCGTTATTAAAATGAGTATGACTATAAGGAAAAAGTATACATTGAACGCAATTAGTAATTATCGTCGTATCATTCACAATTTAGACTTTTTTTGCAAAATTTTACCTACTTTCACAATTTACCAATAAAACTCTACAACAACTACATGACTATTTAAAATTTTACGAAAACTAGCAACCCTGCAAATTTCATTGTACTCCATTTTCAAAATACAAGCCTGGGGAAACTACTCTCGAAGTCCGTCAACGAAGACCTGTCTCCTGTCTAGTTCGAAACTGTCAAATCGCGTTGTCATACATTCTTGGTTCTAGCCCCGATTGAAACTCAAGTTAGTAGGTCATCCTTAGTGGGAAAACAGTCGTAGCAACGGATTTCGTGCTACAAGAGTAGGGCACCAGAAACAATTTACAAAAATTTGTTTTTGGAAATCGGTTCTACCAGGGATCTTAGTTGAGCGTCCAGAATTCTCACAGTACCTGCTAGTGTTGCATTTGCATAAATATGAAAATACAGTTGAGCCTAATAAGTACATTTTTAAGCAAAAATTCATATTTTTGCTTAAAACTGTATTCTTATACAGTTGAGCCCAATAAATACATTTTTAAGCAAAATATTTTGTTTGGCTACACCGACAAGTTTGGCTCTTAAATAAGATGATGATGGTTTTGTTTGAAACTCACGAAACCAAATATGAATATTATACGCTTGCCATGTTTAGTACATTAATATAAACTAACGTTTGAACAAATTCTTTAGTATCATCGTGATCCATCATTAAATAACAAGCAACTTGTACCTTTACATAATATTGTGTAATGGTCAATTGCGTTTATGAACAGAGGCGACTGAATTGTATAGAATGGGGAGTGAAGAAAAAGTTATTCACAGATAGCGCCACTGTCGCCAATGCTTCATTGATCACGTGTCATACTTTGAAATGTTTGACTTTTCGTGCTGATGAATCATGACTGTAACAAATGCACATTGCTTGAAAAATCTTTCATGTCATATAATTTATATAACCATTCAAAATTAACAATAGATAAATTGTGTATGCAGTCGAAATGTTTTTAATTTTTATTAAAATGTTCCAATTTTATTATAAATTTGTTTTTATTTTCTAAGATTACCCTTCAGTCTCGTTTTCAATATTTTTCTGTACCTAGATCAAACTTAAATCATCTTAGTTAATTGCTGTTTCCTTATCTTCCTACTGGTAGGACCAAAAGGATATTATGTCCTTCATAGGTAAGCAAATTACACTTGAAATCGATAACATACATACGACTACTAGAAAATCAAGTACAAATAAATATAGGTGACAGTAGTATTAGTAGAAGCACGAGGACATACTTATCTTTTTGGTTCTATCAGTAGGAGCATAAGGACATATTACTCCTCGTGCTCCTACAAGTAGGAGCATGAGGAAACGGCCGTAATATTGATTATTCTGCCGTCTGCTAAATAAAATGCGGCTAGGTGACAAAATATTTTTTTGAGATGTCATAAAAAAGCCATAACCCAGTTTTACAATATTGAAATTATTCCATAATATTTCAGCTATGCATCGTTAGGGTACGCTCCGATAGAACACGTTAACTAATTTTAACTGTTTATAAAAGACAATGTTATGCTCCATTTTTTATATTTAAAATGGATATTTCACCTAACCGCGTTTCAGTTAGTGGACGGCAGTATTGTTATATTTATTTTAAACATATTAAATCGAGAATAGCTATTTACGTTCCACTGCTGGTCACTAAAAAAATCTTTTTAACGCGGTGTAGGTGTGAAAATTGGTAAGAGACAAATAAATCACAAATGTATCAAAATCAACATTTAATTTTTTTGTTTTATAAAAGGAGCATTATTCATTACAATTATAAGAACATCGAGATCGATCCACAGAATCCCCGTCCATGTATTTGAACATTTTTTTTTGTATATTAAAATAAAATATTTACAATCAACTTTAATTATAAACTAAATAATTCTCATAAAACAAAATTACGGTAAAATAATGAAAAATCGCCAGTTTAAATAAAAAAGGCAGCACAATTTAAGCAATATTTCTAAAATTAAGACCCGTTAGTAAAGAACTTAAAATCTAATATTTCTAAAACAAACGTATTAATAATATAAAATATTAATTTATGTAAACTAGCTTCCTCGAGACTTCTAAATTTAGTACCACCTACACAATTAACTAAACCCTATTGAAACGAGTACAGTCGAGAACATCAAGCTTGACTGTTTATAATTTGGACTATGTTCATAAAGTAAGCGACATTAGAGCTAAATTTAAATATGTCAAAGCTTGACGTGTTCTTGACTCTGTGTAATAAATGTATAAAAAATATAATAATTTGGGTATAAATCTACGATAAACGTAAAAGACGAAGATGCGACAACAAGCACATAGAAAAATTCGTGAGGTCCGCTGGTTCGTTCCGTGGTGGCGTCTGGTACGGTATGCTAGAAGACGTCACGGTTCGAAGGATTTTTTTCTGAGCGTTCAATCTTTGTATTAATAATTAATATTTATATAGTTCATGATAGTTGACCAAGATTTGCCAGTACGTTTTGCTCACGCGGAGACCCATGCTGCCCTCCTTGTCATATCTACAGGATAAAGTTTTATTGTCACCTAAAAAATGACAATTAAGTACGCTGATTTTGTATAACAATAAATCGGAAACTAAATAAGATTTTTAAAAATCGGTTAGAAGGGATTATTGATCTAGTTTCGCTGATCCCAAATTTTTAATAACTCAATTTCGCTAAAATGTCGATTACGTTAGTTATGGTAAGGATGGCAGCATAGTACCGCTAAGCGAACCACAGTATTCCTGTACTACCGTACTACTAAATTGTTGTGCGATAATTGCACGGTAGGTTGACTTGTTAAATTGGTATATTCTTTACATCGGTGCTGGTTTTGCTTCATGCCGCGTTGTTACCCTATTTTTTCTCTCTTAATTTTACTGTCCTAAAGTACTACTGTGGTACTGTAGGATAATCACACAATGCCTAATACCCTGGTGACACTAGAGAAAAACCGTTTTTTATAAAATATTAATATAATTTATTCATCTATAATGTTTGCGTAATTGAAGAAAAGCGATGTTATTGATTTTCTATTTATCCCAAAGGAGAAAAGATCATGACTTTACTTTTCGAAACATATTTTATCCTATTTTGATAACACAGATTGACAAAAAAACAAATCTAACAACTGATCGCCATAATTTTTATATTACAAAACCGACACTGACTAAATCTTAAAAAGGCATTGATAATAAGCAAAACTAACATAGATTTAAGACGCGTTTATGACGTCAAAAGAGGAACGGCTACGGACTGGAGTTCTGTGCCTTGCGACTCATTCCCCAAACGCTATAACTTGGGCCTTTTCAAGGCGAGAGTGAATAGGCATTATTTAGGTGTACATTTTTCATAGTCGACCTCATCGTCACTTTCCATCAGGTGAGATGGAGGTCAAATACGCACTTACTTTCTTAATATACTCCCGGTCACATAATTCGAGTCACCTCGGTAAAGGGCTAGAATACAAAAATAGTGTTATCATCGAAGAAAAAGTTTTCCCCCAGTTTTGCAAATCGAAATTCCCAACAAGGGCTTATGGAAAATACGTTTAGTATTAGTTTCAAAATTGTAATAGTTTTTGATCAATCAAACATTGTTTATGCTTAGGGCACTTAATACTGAAAATGCGTGGTGGCTCGAATTATGTGCCCGGGAGTGTATATTTTTTTAAGTCAAATATATTTTTCGTAAAACATCTTTAGATCAGACTGTAACGTACGGATACACAAGATTATTTCTAAAATACTAATAACCTATATTACTAGGATCATAAACAACAAATTTTATTCCACGACTTTTTGCAAAACATAATAATTTTACCAAAAATAAACTTAACACACTTTTTATTTAGTCGATTCTTTTACTTTTTGACACTTTATTTTTGATTCGAATCAACGTCTCCTAGCAAACCGTGCCATACGCTACGCCAACTAAACCACGGAACGAATCAATGGACCTCACGAATTTTTCCATCTGTTTGTTGCAGATCTTTGCTTTTGGTTTGTAATGACTTTTGGAGTAGCGCCATCTGTGAGAAATCTATGAAAGTTTTTCTGTGTTTGGTAGTAACGTAGTAAGTTCAAACGTGCAGGCCAGTTAGTTTCAGTTTTCTGTGCTCAACTTTGGTGACTTTTTTATTATTTAATTACTCGAATCGTGAAATATTAAGGAATATTTCAGGTTACCACACTCGAGTATTAAATAATACTTCAGATTGATATTCTATAAATATTTAAATCAAAAGAAATTGTCACCAAAATTTAATACAAAAAACTTACCTGAGAATTACCCAGGCGTACAGCCCGACGACCCCTACCCCGGTTCCAGAATTTTGCATCGTCTTGGTATTGACACGTGCGCTTTCTTTCGTTATCGCACAGAGTTATCACTGTTTAAAGTGATCTATTTAAATATTTTTATTTTTGTACGAAAGTAAAATATGATGAATTATTAAAAGTCCTCGAACAAAAGTTGTTGTTTATATTAGTAATATAATCCTCCGAAATTGTTAGTGTTTTACAAATAAACGTGTATAAAGTAACGAAAACATTTTACGTTAATTCCGATAGCCGAATGTCTTGCGGCAATCTCACTTCTAAGGTTTATTTACAATCCTTTGGGTTTATCTCGCATAAAAATCCTATCTAAGTGCAAAGACGTAAAGATTGTCGTTCACAATTATTAGGTAACCTAAGGTCTATATTAAAATTTCGCGAAATTACGGTAACGAACTATATTCTATATCTAATGATAATTGTGCTAAAGTTAATTGAGATCTGTCAAGTAGTTGTTGTAGTAAAGCTGGAAAGACAGAAAAACATACACACATTTTGTATAGGGTAATTTTCGAGTTATTTGTCTCTACCTAATTTTGGTGGCAATTTTTATTATTTAGGTATTCGAGCATACTATCGTGAAATTTTAAATAATATTTCAAGATACTACACTTGAATATTAAGTAATACTTCTTGATAATATTCTAGAATACTTAAACAATAAAAATTGCCACCGAAATCAGGTAGAGAAACTAACCTGAAAATTACCCAATAGTCCCTACACTGACTGACAATAGAACAGACACTACTACAGTTTCTTTATATGCATTGATTACGTTTACAAAGTTACACGAACATGGTTTACATAGGACAAATTTTGATCGAACAATACTTTTACCAGGAATTTAGTGTAGACAATTTTAGGTCTCATGACCCCAAAAATATTTGATTGTTACCGACTATTAACACTTAGGGCGCCTTCAAATTAGATGCTCGTAGAAGCGCTAAAGTGGTGCGTCGGTGGTGCTGTAGTCGCGCCACTTTTGCACACTAGATATTGTAGGAAAATTAGTAGTGCCGCGGCTGCAGCGCCACAGCCTCACCTGTACAAACGTCTAACTTGTAGGCGTTAAGGCTATGTGAACTTTGACATCGACTAATAAAAAATAGCGAGCTAACCAAGTCTTTCGTATTTACAAAACCAACTTTACCTATACTGCCGCCTTTAGTTAAAACGTATTTGACATTTTTCAAAATGTTTTTTATGTATATCGCCATGATCAGTAAAAAGGAGGCCAATCTGTCACTATTTTTATTTTTTGCTAGGTGGATAAGGTATGAAGTTACCACCTGAGAAAAGTAGATATTTTTTTAATTTTGTGACTTTAAATATTATTTTCTCGGTTTTGAGTTTTTACAGCATCAGTATATTTAAGCAAGAAATTACGAAGTAAACTCAATGTGTAATATTGTTTTATTCAATAAATTTCTTGCTTAGACTTTGTCAAAATTCGGTGTGTACGAGAAACCAGCTTAGCTCGCCATTTTTGTTAAAGTTCGTATTATAAAATGTCTGTCTAAATTCGTGGCATTAGGTAAAGATTCTAAAAATTGAACATCTTAGTAACAGTACAATCTATGCGAAACAGCACATTTATTAAACCACCTAAGTCAGTCCTCGTCCGCGACGCTACAGTCGCGCTGGGAATGACGACAAGACGATAATTTCACACGAGATTACATTCCCGAGATTCGATCTATTTACGGACATTTGTAGCTAGACCAAAGTCTTCCAAACCACACTGTATCTACGTTAAATAAATTAACGAACCTATATTGCGTTAGCACATAACATAATATACTGTCGTTAGAACTAGTTGCAAATACTTTCACCTCGTGTGCATTGCACTGCAAT